AACTAAAATGAAATAAATAATTATGATTTTTGAGCAAAATGCTTACATGTTATCAAGAATCTTGTAAATATTACATATATATTGATTTTTCTGAATATAATATTAAACCAGTCAAAAAGAGGTGAATATTTATTTTATTTATAATATATTGCATATAATATCAGTTAGATAAATTACTTATTCCATGTAGTCATTAAATATTTAAATAAAACATGTGTCTATTATATATTACATATGGTTACTTACCATTGTTCCAAAAGGAATAGCCCTTGAAGCATGATAATAAATTGCAATAAAATTAATTAAAAAGGCAGTTCCACACACTAAAACAGGCAAAAAGAAAGTCGACCACAACATTTGACGAATCCATACTTTGCCTCCCATTTTTGAGTACAAAGAGCCACTAAAATATCCATTGATAGGAGATGTTGCAGCATAAACAAATATTGCAGTAGATAACAATGATCCTCTTCTGCAGAATTAATTTAAACATAAAGATTATAAAAACATTAATATTTTCTTCTAAACAATTTCACTGCATTATTTTATTTTAATTAATTAAATTCCTACATTAACTCATTATAAATTTTTGCTAATTGATATTATACGTACTCTGTATACAGATTTCCTAGTATAGTGAATACTATGACACAAAATACAACTGTTGTTAATTGGTATCCTACTCCTATCAAGGTAGAAAATAGCATAGAATAAGAAGCATGTCGAAAAACATCTCCATGTACTTGTTTCCATCCATATTCATCACCCAAATCACGTTCCTAAAACCAAATTATTAAAATTTTAAGGACATTTATTTAATTCAACCGTAACACAGATTTTCAATCTTTTTCTTCTTTGAGACCTTAGTGATATCAAATACAACATTTTATAAATTAATCCTGAGTATTCAAAAATTAGTTTTTCAATGTTCCATAAATATGATAAAAAAACATGTTCCATTTAAAACAAGAAGCAAGAAATAGTTTCAAATACATTTACAAAATACGTTATTTACAAATGCAAAAATAAAATAGTTTCTTTCTTGTTACAAAAACATTGTCTAATTTTTTTTTCAACTTACCATATCATCTATTTCCTCATCTTTACTATATCTTGCATAATCTTTGCGTAATGTTCTCATCAGAATCATAGACACAAGTCCTACTAAAAATATTACCATCATAAAACTGTTAAATATGCTGAACCAATGTATCTGCAAAAATAATATCATTAAATTATTTATGTTCAATTTATGCACCCTATTTTTTTTGTTGTTCTTTATGTAATTTCACTAATTTTAATGGTAAATTCTGCTTTCCAAATTAATTTTTCTATATAATTTGGTGTTTTAACCACTTGACATACAAATAAAATTGGGCATTGACGAATCCGTAAGATAACAATTAATTTGCTGATTCAGGAACGCATATATATATATATATATATATATATATATATATATATATATATATATATATATATATATATATATATATATATATATATATATATATATATATGATAAGAAAAGAGACCAATTTATTTTGAAATTTACAAACTTTATAACATTTAATAGGGTTGATACTTAACACAATAGAATAAATACATATGTATTATAAGATTTATGATTGCGGTTCTTAATACTTGCCAATGCAATATTGTTATCAGTATTTTTGTATTTATGTAAAAAAAAAAAATTCTAAAAAAAACAAAATAGCTAATCTAATAATATACTGCTTGGTTTTTGCCAAAGACACTTCGTCTCTGAGACGTCAAAGTCTACAATGGCACCTGAAATGGATGACATCTCAGATACGTCGTTGTTTATCAAGTAATTTAATATTTCGATAATATATTATAAGTTTTAATCAACAAAAGTATTTTGCATTAATGCAAAAATCTAAAAATTCTTTATCATAAATCAATTATTTTAATTATATCTTACAAATAAAAAAAAACGAGCTATTTATATTGTGAATGCTAAAAGAACAAATTGATATACCATATGTAATAATACAACATAAATTAGCATCTCACCCTATGTTGAAAGAAGTTAGGATCCAAATACTTGTCAAACCTATTTTCAAACTTGACAGTGCTGGGTTTCCATGTCACTTCATAAGTAAACGTCAAAACTGCTCCAGTTTTAAGTAGTTCTTTCTTATGAGATGACAAATTCACATCTACTATTTGCTTGCCATTATATCCAATATCAAATTTCTTGTGTGTGTATATATAGTACTCCTTATCTTCCTCTTTGCCAACTACACCCCAGAGAGGCAAATCGTCTATATACATTTGATACCAATATTGGTTTTTTACAGCATATATAAAAGTTAATTTATCTCTTTCTGATAACTGTACTTTACAGATCTCCGTAGGTGCAATATCAGCTGTAATGAGAGAAGAACTTAATAAGCTATACTGATTCTAGTATATTTTTTTGCTACACCATTATAATAGTATAATAATTAAGTAAAAAAAAAAATATTGCATATAATTCAATTGTTGATCTAGCAATTAATCATTGATGATAGTGAAGTAAAACTAAATGAATATTCTAGAGTTGTGGAATAATAATAATCAAGATATTTTGTAATAATATAGAAGTTTATATTATATGCCCCATCATTCTTTCTGAGGTCTTTCTTAACTTTAAATATAACTAGATATAATTATGTTTTTTTTTTTTAATTAAAATATTGCCTTTTCCATTATTTTTTTAAATTTCAATCTCTAATAATACAAATAAATCTTTTTTTAATTAAATATCTCTTAATCCATGCTCAAAAAAACTTTTTGACAGTAATGTAATACAAGAGATACATCTCATTGAAAGTAACATGAGTATGTTTATAGGATATGGGTAAGTAAAGATAATTGTAAGGCAATTGTTAAAATTAATCTTAGAGCGCTTAACGGCAAAATTCTTTATAAAAAAATTATAGAATACCTTTGAAATCAACCTCATATCCACTTAATACTAGTTCTACACCCTGTAAAGCTTCACTAAGAGTCTCATGATAATGGCTCAGCTGCTTTCTATTTCCAGCGCAAAAAGGCAAAGAAAAGTATCCGTAAGTCTCTTGGCGATTGTGGTAAGGACCAACAGTGTTCATCCATAATACTACTTCTTCATTGTCTTCATACTGACATAAAAAATAAAACAATAATTAAGCGTTTTTAATATTAGCACATAAATACGTGTCAATGTTCAAACAAATTTGCAAAATTATATATCGAAGTTTATTAGTAATTGTTTTTGCAATATACTCACAATGTGACTGTGTTCATCTGCTCTTACGACAATAAAACATAAAATATATATTAAAGGTGATAACTTTTTCATTTTTTTAATTGAGACAACTATAAACACCTATATTTTGACATTTCAGCAAATTTTTATAAATTTTCAAATGTACGCACGTAGCCAAGTGATACCCGATCACATGGAATTGTACTTGTAAGGGAACGCCACACAAGGTCTTTTCGTACAGCAAAATCGATGTCGTTAATAATTCAAAATTAGGCCGCTAGGTGCGAAATGAAAACAACAAACCAAATGTTTATATTAATGTAATAGTAATAACTATCAGTAATTATTATATTGCTAACGCGCTACATATTTATTCAAGTTTTATGCCTAGTCTTGCAATATTATTTCTTATATATTGCGAATGATAATCATAACAAAATAAATAATAAATGATCAAAAATATTGTTTGTTCATTTTGCGATAAAGAGCCAATATTAGCTCTTTATTTGAAAATGCTTAGATTTTATATAATGAATGATTTTATTGTATTAATAAAACACATGCGTGTAACATGCGTGTAACCATTGAATGATTCATATTAAATAATATAAACATGTAGCAATAAAGTGTTTTGTGAATATTCTGAAAAAAGTTCTTTACGTGATCATTTATAATGTTAAAAATCGATCGAAGTTTAAATTATTGCATATAAAATAACAAATTCCGTTATATCATAGTATATTAAACTGAATACAGATTCATCGCTCTTTATCGCATAAAAGATAAAACACGAACAATGCTGTCACTGAGCTGCGGCGCCTTTGATTTTATCTACTTGGTATTCGGCCAAATAGTAAGTTACTCTTCGGTATTCGGCCGAATAATAAAAAAGGTACCAAATATAGCGAATACCGAATAGTAACCGAATGCTATTCATTGCGGCATAGTTCAATTCATAGATAAAAGAAGAGTGTGGTTCAATTTAGTCATATATTAGTACTCTTTTTTTATTATATGTTTAGATTTATTAAAAAAAAAGCATAAAGAAAGTTTATATAAATAAATTATATTCTCATACTATCTAGGGTTCATACTATATTAATTTCCCGTCAACAGATAAGAACGTCACTGTTAATTTTGTATTTTTAAGGCCTTTATTTTTATTCCTAATATTTCAATTGCTGTCTTTTTCGGATAGTTATGAAATAATGTCTAATAAAAGTATATGCTCTGCAGAGCCATGGTTTATATTCTTTTAAACATCTTTTGTTTTTCTTTTGTTTTTAAATAACTATTCATTAGGAATATAAAGACCAAATATTATTATATTGTCTAGGATAAAGACTATTAGACTATCAGTTTGTTTTACACAGTAAACTATAATACATAAAATGCAAGTACAATTTTGTTTATTAAATGTGGAAGCTATAGCTTTTTATAAAGATTAGTCATTGTTTTAGCTTAAGTATCAAATCAATCATATGTAACGTGACGTTAATATAGGCATAACATTTCAATACTAAGATCCAAATATATAAGTAATTGCATTTATATAATTATATCAAAATTTATTAAATATGTAGTGGAATTGCGCAAAACTCCTATTTTTGACTGATATGGATCATGTAAAGGAAATTGCTGGTAATTTTTGAAAGCCTCTGAATCTTAGAAGAGATCTGTGGATAAGATAGTAAAACTCTCTTGTAGAACGAGAGAAGATTTTGTATTATCTGATTCATATCAGATTCATCATGTGTGAAAAAGAACAGGCTCAAATCCAAGATGGTAAAATTTACAAGCAATCAAAGAAGAAAGAAAAAACTTAACATTATGGTAACACTAAAACTAGGTATGACTTCTTCGTGATAAACTGTCAGGTTGTCATCTGCATGCTGCACTGCAGAGTAATTTCTAAATTTGTCTGAAGTAGAAAAATTGGTTATAACAGAAAATTTATAAAATGGAAATTTCAAGTACAAGTAATTCTAGCATGCATCAAGTGAACTTAACAGAATTAAATATAAATCAATTAGGGCAACTGAAACACCAATTAGATCAGGTATAATTTAGTGTAAAATGAAGGATACAGTTATTTTGCTATCAATGGTGCACAACTATTTTTAATATACTGAATAAAAAAATATTACATGACTTTGTCTAATTTTTTTTATACATCAATAAAAAAATACTGATATTGAAGGGTTTAGGGGTTAAAAATTAACCAGGTGTGTGCCACTTTTTATGGATGTGAGCTCTACAGAAAATTATCATGATATATTTATATAAATTTATGTATAAACATTTACAATTATTTAAAAACATTTATTTATACCACAAATAACACAACATTTAAATAATTTTTAATTACAGGAGTTAACACTGTTTCAAGAATCTGTTCAAACTTTAAAAATAGCACAAGGAAAATTTTTAGATTCTGCAGAAAGTTTAGATAAAATTCCATTAGAAGACTCAAAGGACAATTTTGTCATGGTTCCTTTAACTAGTTCCATGTATGTTCCAGGAACAATTTCTGATAGACAAAATGTAATTATAGACATTGGCACTGGATATTATGCTCAGAAGGTTTGTTCTTGATACTACTTTATAAGAAATTTAGAAAACAAATATTTCATGCTTTTTAGGTCTTTAAAATAGTTGTTTTTATTTTGATTATTTCTGATATTGTGCCTTACGTTTGCAGTTGTTTGTTTTACTTGAACCCCACTATAAATGTCTATGATTACTCATTTGTATTGTGTGCTCGGAATGTAGAGTAGGATAATTGAATAGTTCAAATTCATATTATTCTTCATTTATCAATTATAATTATAATTGCAAAACTATGTTTACAGAGCATTCCTAATGCAAAAGATTATTTCAAAAGACGAGCGGCCTTTGTAACTGAGCAAATGGAAAAAATACAAGCTATGGGTTCGGAGAAGACAAAAATCAGAGATACTATATGCGATGTTATTGAGTTAAAGTTAAATCCTGCTAAAGCATCATAAATGATCGATTGTTGTTTATTATTATTATTTTTAAATGCTATTTTGAAGATTTTGAATCTGATTTATTTTTTGCTTAAAGACTGAATTGTTGTTTCTTTCTGCTTAAAATTCTCAATTTTTTAATGTTTCTATGTTTTTAATAATTTGTACATATATTAGATTTGAACCTGTTTTAAATTCCCTAATACAATCTTTGAGAACTTATTAAATTTCATGATTATTTATTGCTTTCATTTTCAAATTTAAAACAGAAAATACTAAAGGGTTGAATAATGGTTGGTATAACGTATGTATGTATGTTGTATATATATATATATATATATATATATATATAAATAAAAGTAACTCCTGTGTAACATGGTAGTTACATTCCAAAAAACTACCATGTCATGCAAATCCATGTATTAGTACAAAGAGAGGAGTTACATTCTAACTAATAAAACAATATGCTACATATTATACATTTTATAATAAACATCAATATGTTCATTAAATTTTCTTAAGAATTAATACGCATTTTATGAATTCATTGATATTTTCATCATCACCACTAACTGTAAGTGCTTCACAATGCAATCAGATTTTTTTGCAATATGAGCTCATTGCCTGAGCTTTTTTTGGACTACTTTTATCCATGTTATATTACTGGAAAAAGATTCTTTATAATTGATTTTTTTTTAGTGTTATTCTTCCATTATAATTTAGTATTGCTTTATTAAAATTTTCTACTTATTTCTTTTGAAGGATCTTCATTCCAGAAATATGACAAACCATTTTGATAAGTTTATACCTTTTTCTTATAGAATGTACATGCTCGAATAAAAATGTCAACTGAGCAAGCTAGAGTTTTATAAGTGTTGTAAGGGGGATGTTCTCTATTCTCGGTCCCTGTTGGAGTAATTACATGTTATAGAAGTACCTTATTGTACGGGTGTTTTTTGTAAGCTGTGTCAAATTGGTGAAGAAAAAATATATTATGGTATTAATAAATGGCAATATTATTATACTTCTCATTAATTGTAAGTGAACTTAGTAACTATTAGTAAAAAATATCAATAGACTAATATTTGCTTTGTTATATATAAGAGCATTGAGATTTGAACGCTTAATACTAGCTTGGGTTTTGAGTTTGATTCATTTATTTTTATTTTATAGTAATAAACCAAAATTTTTGCATTTTTCCACGTATTGAAGGTTTCTAAACATTTTGGCATACCTCAGAAAAAATTTATGTGTGTGTGTGTGTTTGTGTGTCCGCATTTCATCGTCCACGTTTTCGAGCGCACAGATCACTCGATTTAAATGGCTCAAAAAACATTCGATTCCTATTGATAGGGAGATGTGCTGATTAGCTTTTGGCAAAGGCGGGTTACGGAGATACAGAGCAAATAGTGCAGAAATTAGAAATCGAGTTTCTGAGAGAACGGAGCATCTGATTTTAATGATCCAAAAAACTTTCATTTCGTAATGACGGGAGAAGTGGTGATTAGTTTTTGGCAAAGGCAGGTCCAGCCCTTTCGGAGATACTATGCTAAATTTGCAAAAAATGGCAGTTTTTGAGAGAACTAAGCATCCGATTTGAATGATTAAAAAAAACTTTCTGCTTATGTTGATAAAACTATCGCTTTTAAAAATTATTTCATTTTTTTTTGCATATCGAACATAATTCAGATTTCAATTTTAATTCTGGCTAAGATTTTAAAGCTCCTTTATATACTTTAAATAAATAATTTTGACTTTGTGATTCAGTTTATGTAATTTTTATAAATATTAGACTATGTTACAGTATTTATTTATAATTCTAATTTATTTATAATTTATAATAATTGATTTGAAAACATTTAATATTCCTCGAACATTTCGTTACGGTACGGGAAGTTCCAGCAATTTGCTTTAAAGCACGCTGCTTTAGGTCATCCACAGTTATCCATATCCTATTTTATATTCTATATTTTAACCTACTGAAAGCATTTGGAGCAAATCATTCAAGAGATGTCGCAACTTGTGCGGTTAATCAACAGTTTAAAATCAATTTGCAAATTTTAAATTTTGAAGACTGAAGGCTAGGAGAATCAAGGAGTATGTTCTAACTGGTTCTCACATTTCTGATTGAGCGAAATTTTAAATCACTGTGAAAATAAAAAAGGCCCT